CAGAGCTGGAGCGTCGGTGTCCATTCGAACGACATGACCAAGCCAGCGGAGCCGCTGTATTTTAATTCGCTGCACTATGTCCATATCGTTGTAAAGCTCATACAGCTCATCGTTCCATCGTCTGCGGTACTCGCCGTCGCCAACACGTAAAGGCCCGTAAATCTTCCGCAAAATCTTTCTCTCAAACACTCCAAGAGCCGCCTCATCGGATGTTGTCATTGTCCATGCTTCTGCGCCATATACCAGCACGGGCATGATGAGTGACTTATAGAGCGTGGTTTTCGTACGTCGAGAGAGGACTTTACTCCTGAATTCCCTACTCAGTCCAAAGTAGCACTTGTTGGCAAGAGTGATTCTACGTTGGATTTCAATGCTGATATTATTATCGGTGTTAATGCTGGTTTCCAAGTAAACGAAATTCTCTACTTTCTCGAAATTGTAACTGTCAACAGTGACGTGGGTGCCAAGGCGTGAATGTGCTGACTGTTTGTTTGATGACAGGAGATACTTCGTCTTGTCCTCGTTTACCACCAGACCCATTCGCTTTGCTTCCCTATCCAACTTGGAAAAGGCAGAACAGACTTCGCGGTTTTTGTTACCGATGATGTCGAAGTCACATGAAAGGGGGTCGCCCTGTCTGAAACCTAGTTTTGTGGCGAACGGCTCGGAGAGGTCTTTTCCAATTCTGACGGAGGTGGTGGTATTGCTCAACGTCATTTTACACAGCCGTATGAGTTTTGAGGGGATGCCAAATTCAAACATAGCTGCGTATAGGCAACTCCTTTTAGTGCTGTCAAAAGCGCCTTTAAAGTCGACAAATAGGCGGTGAGTGTCGATCCTTTTCTCGCGGGTCTTTTCCAAGATTTGGCATATTGTGAATACCTGGTCTATGGTGGATTTGCCAGGTCTAAAGCCACACTGATAAGGCCCAATCACTTCATTGACGGTGGGCTTCAGTCTTTCACACAATACGCTCGATAAGAACTTGTAACCTATGCTTAGAAGGCTGATCCCGCGGTAGTTGGCACGAATGGCGGGGTCACCTTTCTTGTGGATTGGGCAGAGTACACTTAAATTCCAGTCGTTGGGCATGCGTTCATCTGACCATATTCTGCACAAGAGTTGATGCATGCACCTTATAAACTCCTCGCCGCCGTATTTGAATAGATCAGCTGGCAGGCTGTCAGCTCCAGCGGCTTTGTTGTTTTTCAGTCGCGTTATTGCTATACGTACCTCGTAATAGTCAGTCGGTGGAACGTCACTCCGTCATCATCGACTGCGGGCTCGGGTTCTTCTTCTTCACAACTTTCCGTGCTGCTACCATTTAGTAGGGCGGAAAAGTGTTCCCTCCATAATTTAAGTACGGTCTGGACATCAGTTACTAGGTCGCCATTATTGTTCTTACAGGAGTTCGCCCCGGTCTTTAAACCTTCCGTAAGTCGCCTAACTCTCTGGTAAAATTTTCGGGCATTCCTCCTGTCGGCCAACATTTCGAGCTCTTCGCACTTACGTATTTCGGCCTCTCTCTTCTTGTTGCGGAATTGTTTTCCTTTTTTTGTAGAGATCTCACAAAACTAAGTCGGACGT